CCCTGATATCGAGCATCAATCACCTCTCGACTCGATGATCAGCCGGGGGCCGACGATAGCCGTTGTTAACGCTTCGGGGGCATCCACGGGGCACATCGCCAACGAGTTAATGCTGAAAGTAGTATCAGTGACGAATCTGGGTTAACGATCACGACGACGGACACGAGGAGGCTGCGTCAAGACCCCGAGAAATTTCTCGGGGAGGATGGGAACAACGAAGAAGGACGGTTAAGACCGGATGAAAGGGCCGGGCGGGAGGGGAAGAAGGAGGAGGCCAAAAATTAAACGACCGAGGCTTCGATTACAGCTGCACGTTCGGAAAGCCATCGACCGTTCTTTCCCCGGGCGCTTCCGCCGAGAGCAGCTTCGTCGTCGTTACTCGAACAAAGGGCGAGAGTCGCGCGGAAACGAATTCTCTCGAAGTCGTGCGATGAGAGGACGGCCCTTACCGCCGTCTCGAAACGACGCCGACTTCTTACGAGCTGACACGTAGCGCGCACGGGAGAATTACTAACCAGCTGTCGCGATCCGGCTTATTTTTCTGCACTCCGCAGCGCGCTCGGGAATGCATCGTAAGGCTGGATCTACAAAGGATGTAGTCCGGCAATAAGTGCAAGCGTTTCTCTCTAAGCATGAAATCGTAACGTAATTTCTAGCGAGGACTTCCATCTCTACCTCGGACATTGCAATCCCAGAAATTTGAAATATACGCGCAAAACTCGTGATAGATGCAACGGCGGGTTTGCGACGACGAGGAGCGCGCCTTGCGAAGATGAAAAAGGCAACATTTTCCGCGGAAAATCAATACCCACGCACAGTCGCGCGGCCCTAACGTAGAGGAAAATCAGCGGAATCGACATGTCATTTCGTTTCCGGGCTCTGAAGCTCTGTCGAATGTGTACAATTTATACATCGAAGCGAGTTGGCAACGCTTCTTCATCAAAATATGTGATCGTTTCATGAAAATTATCGCATATTTCCGTGCAAATAATTATTTTATAACAGAGTTCAATATTTTACTGAGAAACATGGAACAACACCGGAAAAAGAATTTGATAACAAGTACTGTAAAAATTTTGCGAATATTTGCCGATCAAATATTCGATTATTGCGGCCAAATAATTTAGTTTCGTCTTCCGTATATATTGTAATCCCGTATTGCTGTATTTAGTATATGGAACTAAATTATTTTCGTTGCAGCAAGCAAATATCTGTTCGACAAATATTCACCAAATTTGATTTATAAATAATTAATACATTATTTATTAATTGTATTTCCGCGATATCTCACCGCCGCGAGGAGCACCGCGAATCCGCGCGATCTCGCGGAACAAGTGCAGAAATATGAACGAAGCTCCCTTCAGGACCGAACCGGCATCCTATTCTTATCAATTTATAGTATCTGCCTTATTCATGAGCATTTAATGAATATTTACTCACTCAAACTTTGTTGAAATCAGGCGGGAAAGAGGGAGNGGGGGGGGGGGGAGAAAACGACGGTGTTTGACTGCGCCGGAAAAATCTGCATCTTCGTGCTGCCGCGGATTGTCCGTCGCGAGGAGACGCGCGACTATTCGGGCGCTTTTTCCTTCCTGAGAATTACACGGCGTCGCGCGGGAAAATTCATTTTTGCAATCCCGCAACCTGTCCTCTCCACCCCCCGACTTTTCCCCGCGTACATTGCGGCTCTCTCTTCGCCGCTAACGAAGTTCCTCCCGTTATACGTTACGGAGGCGGAGGCTGCTGCGTATAAGTCGCGTTTACGGTACTAAATTTAATACATTCGCCGGCTCTCGGCCGCGCTATTAAGCACCGCACGTGTCTTCATCCGCTTCTTCCACAGTTGAACGGACGCAGAAGAGACGCGGATAATGCAGGGCTAAACGACGTGGGAGGATGCAAAGGTTGGGAGAGGCCGGGGGGGGGNGGGGGGGGGGGGGGAGAGAGAAAGAGGAACGAAGCGCGCGGTACGGCGTTATATGACGACGTTCGTTTGCGGTTAATTAAGATTTAACTATTCCCACGGCATACGGAAAGCGAGTCGGAGCTGCTCGAAGGGAGCACGTTTCTCTCCCGCCTAAATCCGCGGAAAGCTGCCCGTTTTATGCATCGCTGTTAATTATGCGCGCGAAGTGCGTTCCCCCACCGCTTCCTCCCCCCGGGGATTCGACCGGCGAAGTTTGTTGCCGAAGTAACGGCGAGCCTGGGGTGACGGGCACGCTGGGTACGAGATTTATAACGTAAGGAAAACTGTGGGGAAAACAGTGTATCTCTTTTTTCCGGCCGTCATGCGCGCCAACTCGGAGCGGACAGACGGCAGACAAGCAGGCTGCAACGAGAATCGCGACTAGGATCTGTGCACGGCAGCAGGAAAGCTGCGTAAGGAAACGGGCGGGATGAATCGAAAGCCCCGTCGTACGCTTCGCGCACCAGGGATCTTAAGAGAATCCTGTTCCGAGTCGTCCCGTTTTATCGCAAATTTGCCGGTACAATTGCTCGTTATACTGGCTGCACAGAATTAAAAAGTCCTCTCGCACTGACACACATTGTTAAATTCCCATGAATATTCAACAACAAGCTATTTTTGGATACTAAAAGCAGCGAAAACGTTAATTACACATGTATTAATAATAATACACACGTGTAATGTAGGCGAGAACGGTTGGCTTTATTCGAGAAATAATGGGAGGTTAACGAATCATAAAACTTTTCTCGCTTTTCGAGTCTCCCCTACCGGCGCCGACGCTACACTTGGATTTCAATTCCGGTTCGTACGGTTTCCTTCTCCGAATCGGAATTTTGGTTCCTATGTTAAACCTTGAATTCTAGCGCGGAAAAACCAATTCCGTCGGTGTAATTGAATTTTCCGTTGCCTGAGTTGCCAGACGAGTTGCTCGGTTGTAGGAACAGAAAGATTCCTATTTGAAGGCTTCTGCTCGGTTAATTGCTCTCAATTATCTCAGCCCAGTTTTAATGCGGCTGAATATTCACACGAATGTTCTCAATTATGATAACAGAGAGACAGCATTTCTTCTTGTCCACTTTCCACACTTCTTGTTACCGAGTTTTCATCCGGTGCGCATATAATGCAGTAGGAGCTAAGATAGCGAAATAGGTCAAATTTTAATGATGTACTTCAACTTCGACCTTGGTAATGGTCTTAAATTTACGTTTCCGCTGTTTTTAATATCAAAATAGGTTATTTTTAATATTCGTGCGAATTTAATTTAATAATCGAAATATCGACAGCATTTATAGCTTCAAAGTAAAATTAAAATTAAATTTTAAGTAATTAAAATTATATTTGTAGAATTAAAAAGGTTCGAGAGAAAGAGAGAGAGAGAGAGAGAGAGAGAAGTTAATGAATGTAGTAAAATGAAGGAGTTAATGAATGTAGTTTCCCTCATCCTGGGTTTTTACCAAGGTTAGAAAAGTTATTTTTGAAAAATAACTACCGTTACCGTTATTCGTTATTTATTGAAAAAAGTAACGCGCAATGTATAATATAACATTTTTTCTGCAAACAAAAGTGCTCGTTCCTACTTTTGAAGATTTTTTAGGGAAAACGTACTTTCGGTACTTTGATTCGCTACTTCGTTTTTAAATACTACTAGCGGAAATATAGTAGTTAGATTATATATTTTGGAATAGACGACGCCATCTACTCTACCATATTTGATATGCAATGGCCAGGTAGCGGCCAGGTCACAAAACCAATTCCATATTTTAATGAATAATCAGCCAGTAATGAACTAGTAACGAGTTAGCAAATTTAATCTGAACGTGTATTAACGAACTACTAGCTTTCACGTCAGGCCGATATAGACGTATTTCTACTCGGACAACTTGTAGGAATTACTCAAAAACTAGTTCTATCGGACCTCGGCAACGAGCTCCAAACTACATCGTGAGAAAAGTGTCGAAGCTGTATTAAAAGCAAATGTATAAAGTCTATTAATAAGCCTTCGGGCTGTAGTGAAGCGTTAACGCGCGCTCGCTGAGCGATCGTGAATGCACAAGCGAAACGGGTGAGCGTCTTTCTCGGTGGAATGCAACAATTTATGATATGCGGCCGCGATCTTTGCGAATCCCGATTTCTAATTAGCGCTCATTACACGCTCCGGTAGACTCGATCCGTTATCCCGGCCGGCGATCGATGAAACGGCGAGTAGTCGATGTCTCGCTAATTGCACGGCAATGCGAACGGCCGAAACGCGGACTCGCGAGGAAGACGCCGATTATCGGCGTTACAAATCGCGCGGCAGCGTTCTCTCTCTCGCAAGCGAGCAAAGCAAATCGCCCCTCCTCTCCTCCCTCGAATTACAAAATAATCTCGGGCAACGCGCTTACCTCGCGCGTCCGTTAGCGCGTCCTTTTTAATCACAGCCGATAAACAAATCGCTAGGGAAGGAGCGCGGGATATCGGTCGCAAGAAACCGCCGGTGCATCCGGCGCGAGGTCTCGCGGCAAAAAGCCGGCGACGACACGCGGAAACTCCACCGCGGGAGCCGCACGCTTGTTACTCACCGAGATGCGAGATGTGTTAACGGCAGGAATGCGGCTGGATTTTTGCCGCTCGGCGACTCTGGCGTACATAAACACTTACAACGTTGACGTGCTGCCGCCCGGCTCTCTTATGTTGTCGGCCGGTGGTACAAGGTGGAAATACCGCCTCCTTTTTCCACGCGAACCGGCCGCCTTCCGTTCGTTTCGATCGGCCGGGTCGAAGGGTCGTCGCGATACGGCGATTACTTTGATTTTTAATGTTGTTTCCGCCGAGAAAGCCGCCCGACCGGCTCGCACCTGCGATATATTTCATTTGTGCGCGCCGCCAGGCGAGATGTGTGTGTGTGAGTCGACCGATTGCGCGAAATGAATAGAATGATTGCGAAATCGCCGGAGACACGAGATCTCGCGGTATTAATTCGGCTGGTTTCGCTCGCCGGGCGCATTCTAGTTCCCCGAGTTAATTTGCGCCGTTCTCCCTCTCTGCATTGCAGGAAACATCAGGACCAGGGTGGTGCTCGACGTCGAGACGAAGAGGGGGTACTGGCTGACGGTTTACGCCCAAGATCACGGAGTGGTGCCGCTCAGCTCGAGCCTGCAAGTAAGTTTCGGCAATCAGACTTCGTAAATTAACGGGGTTGCAGACGGGAAAAACGGGGCACCTTCGAAGTATACACGAACGCCGACACTGTCACTCGCAACCGGTGAACTATTCAGCCCGGCGCTCTTCGAGTTTACCGAATCGACTTCGCGCTTTCTATTTTCCGACGTTATTTCGCATCGCGTTTTCCTGCCCACTCGACGGGCCACGAGGGGCTGCGGGAGAGGGGAGGAAGCGGTTAAAAGCTGCTTGAAACAAGCTTGTGTACGATAACGCGCCCAGAAGCTACAAACGAGCGTCGGTGGATTGTTTTCTTTTCTTTTATTCCTTCGCTCGCGCGAATAAATCGCGACTGACGTTTTATTTAGCGAATGATTCATAGACCGCTCTCGTGCTCAGGTCTACGTCGAGGTGCTGGACGAGAACGATAACACGCCGCTGACCGAGCTCCCGGTTTACTATCCCTCCGTGCCGGAGAACTCGCCCGCCGGCGTCAGCGTCCTGCAGATCCGCGCCTTTGATCGCGACGCCTCGCCCCAGCGATTCGTCTTCTCCATCAGCAGCGGCAATCCGGAGGGTTATTTTCTCATCAACTCCACCACCGGTAAGTTCCGCGGCGGTATCGTGTCGGCGAAATAATACGCGGGAAAGAGAGGGGGAGGGAGACAGGGGATCAGGACGACGGGTCTTTAGCCGCACCCGCGCCGGTAATGAGGTCAATTTTGCCGGACGAGAGTTTTAATAGATCCGTTACGCGGAAGAGCGGCAGATTGGCTTCTTCCGTGAAAAGAATTTCAGTCTAGCCGTTGGTTAGCCGGCCGAATCGGACGATCGAAATATTGATTCCTCACGAGTGGATCCGATATTGCGGCGCCGACTCAACACGCACGCGCCGGTAATGAGATTTCGGATAAAGGCGAAAGGTCTGTCATCGAATTACCAATTTTTGTCGTTGATCAATCAAACGGAGCAAGCTTATGTATGGTTCACACGGCACGTTCTCAATCGCTCGTCGTCGTAATAAAATAGACGAGCCCCGACGAATGTGCAACTTGCATCACCGATGGCTTGAAGTCAAAGTGATCGTTTTATTGGCGCTTTCACGGGAGAGACGGTGAACGGAAATATAGGGAAATATATGTTTAATGTTGCCAAATATCTCTACTGATTAGCTGTCACGTATTTCAACCTGTCACGTACAGAAATTGTACACTTTGCTGCACATCGATGTCTGAAAAACTAGCCAGCCGATGATCTCGTAATTTTTCAATAATATTTCTACAAGCGTCTTTTATCGTTTTCTCGTTTTTCATTCAAGTCGAGTAAGAGTGATTTGTTCGTCAGGGATAAAAGCGTGATGTCGAAAGCCGTTTTTACGTGAACGTAATAGCGCCGGCCTGCATCAACTTTGACTTTTAGTATCTCAACCTCGGTCGATCTTCTTCTAATTTTACATCTGTGCAGCTCTTGTTTCGATTGATATGCAGTGACAGTTGGGAGAAAAGATTCCCGAGAAAATAGATTCGCGGGACCGACTACCGTTAAGATAACGCGCAATGGAGAACAATAAACACCTTTATTCATTCCAACGACTTGTTTCCGTCCGTAATAGGGCGACATATAAAAGTGTCTAAAGATACGTCGTTTCCGCCTTACGTAGCCGTACATGCAAATTCGACTGATCGAATGTCGATCCATATTCATCAGTCCTTTATCGTTTCGCTTAGCCTTCCTCCTCGCGTGAGAGACGCTCGGGGATTATAAAACGATGAGAGTGCCTATCTCGCGGGCTCGTTAGATCTAGGACAGCGTCGTGCCTTTGGCTTTAGAGCCTCCATAAATAACGTAAGAGGCGGCGTTACGTTGTTTAGTGCGACGAAATAATGTATGAACTACGAACACGCATGGCAGAACGGTAAGTAATGCGCGGCGAATGGATTCTCGAGCGGGCGGGATTTAAATGCCTTTAAGGAGATGCCAAAGTCGCTGGCAAATTTGATAAGCCGGGGATAACGTGGAAGCGATCTTCAAAATGTCACGTTACTTGACGGCGATCACGCTATCCTTTTTGTATTTCTCGCACACGCAGATCTTACGTAAATGCAAGCACGATATCAACGTAAATGCGATGAGTGTATGCTAACCTTGTTTTACCATATCTAATGGAAAATTTCAGATAAAACTTTCTGCAGAATTTTCATATCTTTCTAGGCCTCTTAAGTTGAGGAGCCATAAAAGTGTTCTTCGACATTTTTTTTATTGAATGGACCCGCTTGCGACGTTTATTACCGTCCACGGTATGGAAATCTGGACCCTTGTCGAAATTGCAGCGGTCTCAATTCTTGGCATCCGGCCCGTCACGAACAATACGCATCTTGCATTCTTCGAAAGTCGTTCGCAATCGATATCACGCAAAATGAAAAGTCAGCGCGATGAAAAAGAGTCAGTCGTCGCTTGATCGCCGTATTCATCGTTGTCGGCCGATCTCGGAAAATTCCCCTTTCGCCGGCTGGTCAATCCAGCGTCCCCGCGTATCCATCCGCGGAAACTTTTAATGTTCGAGGATTGTGCGGAATTTGGCTCGGCGACCCGTCGTATTTCACATGCGAGGGCAGACATTCGATCATCGGACGAGCCTTAGAACGGACGGATGAAACACACGGTATGCGGTCGTTCTTTGTCCTACATCGATGCGGAAGTACTTCGCTGCAACGGGTCGATAATATCGGTGATAAATGTCACCGAGTTATTATCGGCGCAACGGCGATCACAAATGAACCTGTGTGGAATTTCAGCCTCACATTTCAGCCTCACAATTTCCGAAATTCCAACAACTTTGGGGCTTTAAGGATGACTCTTTTGGCTATTAAAAAAAAATTTTACAAAGAACCATTTGAAAGAACTATTTGAAATCTTTTCCGAACGATTCCTTCGCTGTCGGTGTTTATTTGTTTATTCTCACTCTGAGAGATGGATGGAATTGACGACGCGCTCTTCTTTTTATCATCACGTCGCACACACTCACACACGTGTCGACATAGAGCGAGCGTACGAAAGGAACCGGACGCCAGTCAGTTAGCGGCGTTCGATCAAATTCGAACCCTTTGCAGGAAGACGTGTGGGTGCTCGCGAATACACGAGTCCGATCTTGTATCGGAAACTATTAGACCCGACTCTGTCCCAGTTTCAGCTTCGGTGCGATGCCGCCACGCCAACAGCAATTACCGCGCGTAATGCAACGGACAGCTACCAAATTCCGTGTAATACCAGCCAAATTGCTTTCCCGCACCGAAGAAGAGACATTGTCGTCGATTTTATCGCGGACCGCTCGGTCCACTCGGCCCGCGAACATATTATTTATCGCTGTCGTCCATTCAGTTGCGACTCGAGTCGAAATTTTCATGTTATTTCGACTCTCTTTGAGGGTTGTTTGCGCCTATTTGGAGGTTCGTGAATGATCTTTTAATTTTTGCACGGGAATAGAGACTATTTCTTTCTTCTTATTGTGCAATATTCTTTATTGAAGAAAATTTTTCACACTCGACGAAGAACGCGCGACGACTCTTCGCGCGTATCGCGCAAAACCCGCCCGCGGTTCGTATTTACTCGGGCGATATCGCGCTTTGTTAGTTGAGAGCGCGTGTAAACGGAGCCGCGGGAAAGGATTCGCGGTTTTTCCTAATTACGGTATTGCGAGAGCCACCGTGAATGGACTGCCGGATGCGCGGAAATCGCGTCCTTTAAGGTCCGTTTCGTACGTAATTGGACCGGCGAGTTTACGGTAGTAGTCGCGTTGGCAATGTTTTCGAGTAAACTATTACCACGGGTGGTTTCCTTTGTCTCTTTTCCTTCGTGCGACGTAAAGGACGATCGCTTTCCCGCTGTAATCCCAAACTTTACGACAGTATTCACGTCAACCCCGACGATATCGCCACTTTTTCACCCGCTGACCAAGGCAAGTCGCTGTAACGTACACATAATCTTGCAATTAAACTGGATGCAATTCATTATACAATTCGCAATTCAACGTGGTAAGCGCGGGATAAGAGTGTCACAGTGTTGGTCATCAATGGTCGTTCAACGTGTGAATAAAGGCCATCCTGGCCTTCCGCCTGTTGTTTGTCTTATAGGAGATGAAAAGTTTTGAACTCTGATGAAAAATCGATAAAATTTAACTATTGCCGGTTACTATAGATATAGGAATTAATTAAATACGAAATCCTCTCGCGTAGGGTATTTTTATAATTTTACATATAATTATGATAAAAATCATATGATTATGTAATTATGACGGAAATATATTTAAGAAATTAAAATACATTAACATATGGAGCTCCTACTCGATTCATCCCGCAATATTGCAGACATAACTCAGGAACGAATAAAGATATCGAGATATATATTTTTTAATTAAAAATTATAAAATACTCCGCAAATTTAACTAAACACACTTGGAAAATATTATTTATTTAAGTTTGCAGTAAAAAGAATGTTTTTTTTTCTGTCATTCTGTTGATTTTTATCGAACATCTCTTTTTAGTTCGATCTGCGGGGGAAAGCTTTGGAAGTATAGCGCCGTTTGTCTCTATTGAAAGTGTCAACTGGATGAGCACTCGCAGTCTCTGCAAAACTACAACACACTTCGCGGGATTATATCGGGCTGCTCTATACGTTAATATTTATCATTCTCCTACAGATTTTTTTCATCACTAATGTATAATATAAATAGTCTGCGGAGGGGTATTTTATATTCGATTAATTCCTAAACACCTGCAGTGACAAGTTAAATTTTCGCGATTTCTCACAAGTACAAACCTTTCCACCCTCTTATTTAATCTACCGATCGAAAATTGACGATCGTCATCTTCCCCGTTTGTTACGCGACCTCTATTTTAATGTCGTTTCGCGACTCTCATTAAAGAGCTTCCGGCGTAAAAGCGTCGGCAACTTTTCCAGGAAGAGTCGCCGCTACAGACCGGCCAGCCGGCCGNGGGGGAAGGGGGGGGGGGGAGGCTCGTTTCCGCAATTAAATCACCGGATCACTCGATTAATGCATCACTTCGCTTTCGCCACGCGTGGCCGCCTCTTTCGCTCCGCGCGCACATTCCGTGCGCGCCATCAATCATCCGCGACCGCGGCCTCTCGATCAATTTTCGCGACCGCCCGATAACAAGCAAGGACGTGGTGGGTTTTTTTAATCTGCCGGAACGTCGCGCGGGAGACGACGATGGAAAAGGTCAGTTCCCGCGGCAAAAAGCTACTCCATCACGCGCCGCGAATGCATACTGAAATATAACGCGTCACGGTATATCGCATGCACGTACTTTACGATTTACACCGTAGTACATCCACGCCCTTATTAGCGTTATTATGCGGCGCGTGCGCCGGGCCCGGTTTATCTTCTGTAATTGTGGCTTTTACGATGTAATAATACCACCTGGCGAAGTACAAATTTCACGAGCGTGTGCGCGAAAAGAAACGCTGTTGTGTCAATAGAATTTCCAACGGCGCCTAATTAGGGTAAATCTCCTGCATTCAACAACGATATCATTGGACGAATGGATTCGGCTGGCGATCTGAAAGGGTTTGATCAACCCTTCGGCTTTTTATGCGCGCCGGCAAACTCGCGATTTCTCTAATGCGGGCACAGGCAAATTTCGTAAAACGTCCGAGCAAAACGCACCGTCGTTGCGCGAAAGATAGATAATCTTGGCCCGTCATGAAAGAGAGAGAAAAGGGAAATAATCTCGATAAAATGCTCTTTTTCTCTTCACCCCTTTCCCCCCCCCCCCCCC